AACTACAAGGACAGTCACAGATGAGTGTTTCTGATGGGTTCTGTGTTTTATTTTCCTATTTCTCTTTGCTATCAGTTTGGAGGCAATCCAGTGTCTTGTGCTATTGGTTTAGCTGTATTAGAAATAATAGAAAAGGAAGACCTCCAAGGAAATGCTACACGCGTAGGAAATTATCTCCTAGAATTGTTGACCGAACAGAAACAGAAGCATCCCTTAGTGGGAGATATCAGGTAGGTGCCTTATGGTGTATCAGTGTTTCAAGGAGAACAGCAGCATTAATTGTGATAGAAAAACAATGAGGGTACGGGGCGGGGCCAGAATTATGTCATGGTCACATTCTATCTTTTTGAAATTGGACTAGCCAAAACTCCTACCATAAGAAAACCAACTTTCTAGTAAAAGTTTCCATTCTTCTAGTTAGTTAGGATATTACTAACTTGTTTGAATCCCTGGTCCATTTCATCTGGAGATGTTGATATGCGTTTTTCTCATCTCAGGCTAGTACCAAGGTAACAGAGCTATGAATTGTCCTGGCTAAGTTTCCCCATCAACTAACAGACAAGTCACCATTAGCAACTGCACAAACATTAGGTTCTTGTGTTTTTTTTTGTTTGTTTTGTATTTGTTTTTCCTTTTTAAAAGTGTTCTTGATCATCTGTCTTCCACAGCATCATGGTTTAATGTTGTCAGGATAAGAGGGGAAAAAAAGCTTTCTTTCATTCTTAACTGTCCAAGTAACCTTAACAAGCCGGTTAAATTTATTTATCCAGAAATATGGAACTGGCAACTGGAGTGAAGACAGAAAATGATGCATCTACAAATGCACAGTGCAAAAGACAGAAGAGACAGTCTAGTCTCCTTCTGACTCCTTCCCCTTTTGGGCCCCCGGAATGGAAATGCAGTTGTTAAATCTATATTTGTAGCAGAAGGCTTGGATTACTGACTGTGGATTTCAAATTTGTTTCTCCTCCTTTGTACTCTAGGGGTGTTGGATTGTTTGTTGGAGTGGATCTGGTGAAGGATCAGCAAAAAAGAACACCAGCCACAGCTGAAGCCCTTCATCTTATTTACAAGTAATTTTTTAAGACTTTCATAGCAGTTACTTATTAATTTCAGTTTACATCTGTGTGGCTTTTGATAATAGAGTACGAGAAAAAGCAAAAAAGTTTGATTTTTAACTGGCCTGAAGTGTCTAGCAGAACACAATATAATTTTGTACCTGTGTTTTACAAAGCTGTTTAATTTTTCCACAGGCTGAAAGAACACCAAATCCTTCTTAGTGCAGATGGACCACACAGAAATGTACTAAAATTTAAACCACCGATGTGTTTCACTAGGGAAGATGCAAAATATGTAGTGGACAAAATTGATGTACTTCTCACAGGTATATATGTTTTTCAAAGAATACTCTTCATTCATTTCCAAATGACACTTTGGAAACACCACCTGCAGTAATCTAGGCCATTACATGTAAGGAAAATCAACTATGCTTTTAACTCCGTGTTTGAAATGTTGTTCCTAATGGCATTTCTTATAAGTATACTAAAAAAAAAAAAAACTCCATACATAGTTCATCCAAGTATTTACTTACTATTTTCAACACAGACACAGACCTCAAAGACACTGCTAAAGCACTCATCAGACTTTCCACGGTGCTCTCTACCTTTTTGCTTGCTTGTTTTGAACTGACCTACTTCAGTATGATTGTCTCACTCAAATTTAGCCAGAAGGTTTCCAGACTCTGGGGACCAATCCAGGAGAAAACAACAACAGGTGTACTATTAGCATAAAGATTCTCCAAGCCTTTCCTAGATTGAATGCTCCCTATCTCCTGAGAAGATGTAAACAAATGGAGTTAAGACTAGCTGGAACCTGCTGGAGAAAGAGATCATCCAGCTCTACAAGGTCTATCTGAACCCTTGTACCACAGAAGTTTTTTGATTTCATTCTCTTCCCAAAATATTCACAAACTACACAATACTTATATCAATCATACATCCTCAAAATAACATTTTAGGAAGTACTCATTTTCTTGTATTATTCTACTGTGTAATAAATGTATAGGAAAATAGTTTATCAGATATCTTTGGACCTCAGTCAGCTACTAGGCAGACTGTACACTTTCCCTGATTTTTTTTTTTTTTTTTAAGAAATGGAAGCGGCAACTGGAAGAAAGACAGCAAATGATGCATCTACAAAGGCAGAGTGCAAAAGAAAAGTATGTCTTGAGTTTTTTTTTTTTTTTGGAACCTTAATCAAATAGGTGATGGGAGATGCAAGTATGAGTGGCTTTAGTAGAACATGTCTTCATTTTTGGTGATGTAAGCAGTTCTACGCACTGAAACCAAGATTATAATGGAATCTTTTAAAAGCAACCCGAGAGAATCGTGTTACTGGGGCAAATCTAAAAAGAGCTGAGCATTAGAGACCTAAAACAGGAAACATCTTACAGACAAGCCCATAGCCCCAGGTCACTGCACTGTATTGCTTATGAGCTAAGCAGGCCAGAATGATACTAGCTCTGGGTATGAAGCACTACCAAAGTGTGCCTGGCTCTCCACGTAAGCCTTCAGCCTGGAAGGCCCCCAAGCTTGCAGGCAGTTCCAAGGGATTTGTTTCCCTGGTAGGTCTGTAAGTGTGACTGGCTGCCATGCATCCAGCTGGGACTTCTTAGGTTGCAGCACCACGTTTGGACAAAATCTTATGTAATTTCTCACACTCCTAAAAATACACATCACAGCCTGGGTTTTCCAAATACTTGCTGAGCTGGTCTTTGGAAAGTTTTCCAGGGATACCATGATGGCAAAAAGGCAATAGCTCAACCGCTTGTGGATGTAAAAATTGAGGCAGAGATTCTGTGGATTATTTGCTCTCTGAATAATATTAGATTTAGGGTGCAAAACTCCTCTTACACACAGCTGTACATGCTTAGTTCAGTCTCACTGAAGTTATGCCATTACAAGAAGGGTGTCAGACAGAACCAAGTTTAATAACAGCCTGTTGAAAGAAATGTTCCTTCACTGACATTTCATGCACCTTCATGGACATTTCATTTGTGTTTTAGACAAATGAAGAAAATTCCCAAGCTGAGTCTACTAATGAAAGCATCAGCCATATCAATGGAGCTGCCTGCAGACAAGAAAATGGTTTTTGCTCTGATAAACGCTCATTGCCAAGTAACAGAATACAAACATGAAGAGGAGAAGATTCCATCTTCAGTTTAGATTTGTTTCCTGTTTGCTATTGAGACAATGAGTGCAATAGTCTGAGTCCTATGATTTGTCTGAAGCCTGGTCCTACCTTTCTTAAACTGTTTAATTCCTATTAGCTTCAATAGCAATTTAAAATACATTTTCAGACACATGAAAACTGCACCTGAAATATAGATGTGACAGAATGGACATGTGATACCTAATTTCAGTTCCTTGGTGTTGACTGAAGGTTTGACATAGGCACAAAAAACTCAGTGAAATCTGTGGATTTACCCATGTTACACAGAATCTGAACCACTGCTTAACCATCATGCAAGTACCTATTAACCTACTATACTTAACATGCTGCTTTTAGAATATTTTAAATTTCAATATGCAATATTGAGATGTTAATTACTTCCCATGTTTTAATGGCTGAATTCACAAAAACAATGCTTGAGAGGGAAATCATTGTCATCTTTCAGTGTGGCTTTAGGTCCTATGGACCAGAGTCCCAGCTGATGTAGACTGGTGTAGCTTTGTTAATGTCAATGATGCTCCACCAAGATCTACTACAGTTTGTGGAGACACAATGTTTATGCAAGGCACCCTCACTTTGTGTTCACAGGAAATGAAGAATTTGGATCATAATTTTCTATGGATAAAGCAACTTTTATAGATAACTATTTATACAGAGTAAGATTTTATGAATCTTTTTGCAAGTATATATATCGAACATTCTCAGTTCATAAAACATGCAAGCAGGGTGCATGTAATTTCAGATACACTGATTGACTTTTGTCTGCAGGTCTCTCAAAAATGAGGTTCCCAAGCACAGTCCAAGTCCAGCTCACACTCCTCTGGCTTTCAGATGTTTTGAAAGTGAAAGGAAGCAGTGTCCCATCCTTTCCTAACAGTGCTGCTACCTTTCATCATTGCAGATGAAGGGTCACCTCTTGGTTGCATGGGATCCTGCAACCCATGAGACACAATTGGCTATACTAATCTTGACAGACCACTAAAATGAGGGGACCACCACATAGCATAGACATGAAACTGCTTTGCGGTCTCAAACTAGCTGTGCTCCAGATACCTTCGACTTCCTTGCTGCCTTGTTAGTGCTAAATTTTAATGAGAACACACACGTCCTCACTCTAAGAAAGGTTTTTTACAAATGGTATGTACTTCAGGGAAAAGACAAAAATATATCTCCTGCTTAATTTTCATATCCCAAGTTCTGCTCTTTGGTAACTGCTGCTACGGACTATATTGATAGGACTGAAATATACAGTGAAATATATACTGAAAATACAAAGCCTTACCTAGCTTTGCATTTTTCACCATTTGCCGTATTAATGTTAATGTGTAACTGTGTAACTTCTTCCAACATTGTCAAGCTAGCTTATTTCCTATTTCATGATTTTTAATAATTCCCTCAAATAAATCTCTTACTAGTAATTAAGAAGTCCTCCACAAATGCCTTTTTATTCAAAAACAAAACAAAATAAAGAAAAACAAACAAAACTATTACACCTATTTGATGACAAAAATAACTCAATCTTCGGTTTGGAGTGCTCTCCATACCACAGCAGAACAGGCTATGTTATACAAGCAACACCTACCCTCCCAGCTAGACACTGCCTCAGCCATGAGAGTTCTATTTCTTTTGTGGCCACACTATAAAACGGATTGGAATCCTGGTAACTCTTTGCTAGAAAGTGCAGCAGGATATAACTTCCAGAACAAAACTACCTGAGAGCTAAATCAACATAATTTGGAGGAGAAAGGGTATTTTCTTCAGCCTAGACAATCCATTGAAAGACTAAACTGTCGCATGTTTCTGTGGCACTTTAAATTGAGTCTTTAAAGCATTAGTGCGTAATACAGAGAGAGCCATCTAGCCCATTTCATTCCTTTCCTTCTGGAGAACACTTGCCTCTCCCAAGTGCTACACTGCTTCTCACCATGGTGCGCATCCAAAGGCTCACTCCTTGCCTGGACTATCGGCCACTTACATTATACCTCATTCAAGGTGTGCAGAACAAGCAGCACACAAGGCCCAGCTAGCAAATGCAAGTACAGCTTCCTGGGAGAGTTAAGCTCAAAAGAACACCAAACTAGGCCTGAGCCTGCACAAGAAAAGCACCAGAAAGGAACAGAGCGGGCAATGAAGGAAAAAATACCACTTACTCTATCCCAAGATGTCACACTCTGAAGCAATTTTTATCTTCACTAGCCAGTTTTAGTTCATAATCATATCGAAAGCTGAATCTAGTTAATTCTATTGCATTCTCCCAGATTATCACCTTTTCAACCATTTCTATATTGTATGTTTAAGACTTCTGAAGTAAACTGATTGGCTACAACAAGGGGAAAAAAAAGAGAGCTTGCTGCAAATACTTATTAAAGAGCATTGTGAGAGTCTGCACCTACTGCCAATTAATTTCACCACTTAAAAGCAAGCAGGATTGAACCTGCACGGACCTGAGAAACTGTGCCATAAGGCACTATTCTGAGGAGAAGAAACCAAATCAAAAGTTGCCATGTCAATGCAACATCACTGATCCACCAGGGATATAGAGCATACTTCATGTCCTCATCTGGAGCAGAAGAAAAGCCTCAGCACCATTACACACTACACCAGGAATATCCCAAACATAAGTACTAGAGAAAAAGCAGGTCTGCATTACTTACAGAGCAAGAAAAACTAAGCATACCAACCAAAAATCCATATCACAGAGTTGTGATTGGTTTTGGTGGCTTAAAGTCGGAAGGAGGGGGAGTAGGAGACTCAAAGGCCTCGTTAGTATAAATAGGGCCCACTTTCCTTCTCACCAGAGGAGACAGGCATACAGTATGGTACTGTACATGCACTACTCCAATATGCAATAACTATATGGAATGAGAAACAAAATGAAAGGAAGCAGAAGGAGAAGAATAAGAAAAAATGTGTTTCAGTGCAGCTCACTAAAGGTTGCTGGCAGTCTTCAACAACAGACAAAAGCAAAGTCTTGCAATAGCATCAAATGCTGGAAAAGGTTTCCTAGCATCAGCTTAGCTGTTGATTAGTAACATGGCTCAGCAAGTGATTTTACATCTTTACTTCTGTACTTACTCCCATCTACAAAAGCAGATATAATAATCTCTGTAGTGGTTAGTAAACGCTAATCACCTTATCAAAAGCAATCACTCATTTTATATATGACTGTAAGTCACAAGGTACAGCTGGTTCAATTTACTAATTTGCAGTTACCCCGTTATATTCCCTATTTGTTCATGGTGTCATCGGGAAATTGAGCCCATTTACAAAGCCAGTGATGATTACACTGAACACCACAAAGTAACAAGGAGACAGATACGGCGCAATGGGGAAGGCAAGCAGTCTGGCTAGCAACCTCCCAGTAAGCTTACAGATCCATAAATAAGTTTTCAGCCAGCATGGAGCACTTCTTGAGTGGAAAGAAGGCTTTGGGTGTCTATTCCTTGGTTTCTTCATTCCAGTCACAAAGTAAGGCAGGAAAAGAATTCATTTAGAAAAAATGCTGCTCACATGCTCCACTGGCTTCCTCTGGAGAACAAAGCTTTCTGCTCTAGTACTTACAACCAATAGGCAATTCAATTAGTCTTTTTCTACTCTCTGTTAGCCCTGACACAGATCATATAAATCATAAATAAATTAGGCTTTAAGAACAGACTATATTCATCTTTTAAGAACAGTGTTATAGCATGAATGAGACTTACAAGTCTGCGTGAGATAGGACCAGATTCCCTTCAACGTCTTGTATCTATGCAAAAATAATCAGGACATTGAATGCTTCTTTATTGCAGAGCCAAATGAAGATACTGTTACAGGTGGTAAAACTCCAACAAGGAGTTTCAAGCCAAATTTAACACCAAAAGTTTTTTTTTTTTTCTGACATAGGGATTCATAGAGTTCAGTGTTATCTGCAAGCACTGTATAAAAATATTCTCCAGAAAATGCATATGGCTTTACATTGAGTTCTGATGACTTCCCCTGCATGTCCCTTTCTGCCCACTTTTTCCCTCCATCCCCACGATACAGTCCTGTTCTCTTGTTCTCAATCCTAGCCTACACTATAAAACTTTTTTCTCCAGTTAGGACCTGAGAAGAGGGGGTGGGTACACACGAAAGCATACTAACAGAGTAAATAGTCCCTTATCTCAATTTTTTTACTGCTGTGGCTGTATTTTCAGATACAGCCGAACAGATTTTCTCCCCACTTCATTTTGTCTTTCAGTGTTCACAAAGTTACCAGTCATCTATCTCCTCCCTTCTCATCCCTTAAAGGTTTGCTAGCTATGGATAGCATTGCCTTCCATATAAAATAACTTTTTAGAAGAATGATCTATTAGGAAAAATAGCTGCTATTTATACAGGTACTATTTTTATAAATGCCATGCGTGCGTGCATTATTTATATAGGCATGTTTATATGTATTTTTTCTATGTATGCACAAACACAGAGGAACACATATACACACACACACATTGCATAAATATTTATCTGTTCAATAAACACAATATGAAATGGAAAATTACTACGTTAACTCTCATTTAATAATGCACTATACCATGAGAAATGAGCTCTTGCAGAAACCTTGCAACAAAAACGCTTTAGAAATTCCTGCAACATTGAAAGCCTACACAGCGCCTCTAATCAAAAATAGCCAGGGTTCTTTGTCTAGAGTCACACACACAAAAATTGTTCAAAGCTCACAGCTACAATCACATTGTGACATGATGTGCCACCATGAGGACAGGGCTAGCTACCCTGCTGAAACCTGGCAGTGCAAGACCTTAGGTACCTGCCTTCCTGCCCTTGACCCTTCCTGAGGTGGAGCTCGGCTCCTCCCAAACTAGGCCTGGGGCTGTAAGGCTCTGCGCTCACACACTGATGTTGCAGGCTGGACAGTGTTCAGACATGTCCAGATCTTCTGTTCAGAAGCCTAAGACCAATAACACACACAGACTACCAGCTTTCTGAAAACAAAATATCTGCTTTTCGGCATTTAGAACTAAAAAAACTCTGCGAGCACATTAACTTCATCACCTATAGGAATACTGGCCAACTGATGGGGTACCTTCAAAATTCCCTAGATGAAAATCATTTCTCTACTCCCCTTTCCTCTTATACCACCACT